TGTTTGTCTGTGCGCTTCTCGCGTGGCTAATTACTCAGCCTGAACAAAGCCCCAGCACCGAGTATGGAAGGAGATCATAGCACTTGTTAATAGATTGAGGACCAGTGAACCACGACTAAAGCATCTCGCGACTAACGCGATTGTCATCTCTAGCCAGAATTTCTGCACCGTCGAATCTGAATTTGTGGCCGAATCTTGTCAACTTCGCCGCAACTTAAGAGCCGGCGTCATTTCTCCGCAGCGCTGCAGCGTATTCGTCCATTCGCGCTTAAGGTAGTCTTCGGGCTGCTTCGACGTAGTTGCTTTGGTCGCAAATACACCAAGTCAGATAAACGACTCCAGGTATTTCTTACCCTGACAGTGGGGCTTTCGGTCTTACTATCCGATGCCTGATGAATAAAATGCCTACGGCTTAAGTTGGCCCCATAGAGCGTGTATTGCTATATGTATACGGTCGTAGATAAGCGCGTTAAAAACGCTTATCCCTGCGGGAAAAAATAGCTTGAGTTTCTACTACAAGATAATTGCTGTAAATATCCCACTTAAGTAATTGGTACTAATATTAAATTCAGTTGAGCATTAAGACTAGCCCTCCATCAGATACACCGTGCACTGTAGATGAGAAGAAGAGCATTCAAATATAGACTAAACGCTTCACCTCTTCATTCGAGGATGCTTTTGCAAACAGTTAGGTTCACGCAATTCCAAAAATCTGCGGGGAACTGAAGGCGAAAATTATGCGCGTATGGATAGAAACAAGAAAAAGATCTGGAGCACACATGAATGGGAGTAAGTTTGCAGCAAGTTACGGCACAGTTTGATCAATTGTAGGATGAGCAACACAAGGCTTAGAAGGTATTTGGAATTGCCGCGTATAGCTTGCAGAAGTCCTGATTGAGAGAGGACATGTTATCCGTATTTTTTCGGAGATAAAAATGTGCGAACAATTGTATTGCGAAACCAATATCTTGTGAAACGGAGGTGGCCTCCTTGCACAGGCAGCAAATGAAGCCTTCCACTTTCATCCAGCGTTCTTAGCCCAAGCGTATCCTAAAATATAACGCAAAAGCCAGCTCAGGTTTTGGAAGGTCGATAGGCCGACCCTGTTGGTTACACATTTGATTAAAAACCAGCATCACTAGGAAAAGACACGGGAGAGAGACACGTGACTATGCACTACGCGAAGTAGGGCTAATAACATATCACAAATGGAAGACCGCTTCTGGGTGTAAACTCATGCAATTTTCGCGAAGTATACGAGTGGGTGACTACTGCTCTCTATTTAACCCAAAGACATAAGAGGTTAGACGGTGCTTCACAGCAACGCCTTATGTTGCATCTGAGCCTTTAGATGTAATTTGTAGATATACGTTTTTAATTTGTTGAAAGGGGGCTACGATTACCTTCAAAAGACCAGTGTTTGGCAGCAACATCGTAGGCTTAACTGTGTGAAGGTCGTAGGTCACTCCTGACCTACACTTTCGAATAAAGGAGACCTTATTCCCATAGAAGCCAATTAGTAAAGGCGTAAGTGAAAATTCCTTGCCAAAGCGACTATGGTGTTGGGTCAGACTGTAGCCTCTGATTGCGTAACGAGTAATTGAGATGTGGGATTTCATTTGCATATTTTCGAAATTGCCATCACTTACTTATTTAACTCGCAGGTTTTATTTTTTGTCGTCAACAGCATGGTGTGCAGAGGGTGTATATCACAAATTAATGCGTGTGTGTTCATAGTTGCGCTATAATATCGAACATGCACTGCGCGTATAAGCACAAAGAAATACTAATGTTTGGTTTGTGAGAAATATTTTCAACCTGGTCAAGAAAACTGGAGCAACATTGTACCAAATCAAGCTCATGATTCAAACTGCAAAACTCGCCTTAGGAATCACACAAAGGAGTAGCACTCATGTTTAGGTAGTGATTGCCGTAATGTTGAAGGCAAAACATATCCCTAACAAGCCGATCTAGTCTGCCCTGCATATGGCATAGGAGGTCATAAAGGGAGGAAAAATTTTTATCAAACATAAAAGTTTTCCTAGATCGAAATAATCACCATATTTTAGACCTCACTATATCAACTTTAAAGCCTGTTTTGCCTATTTGTGCGAATCGAGGAAGCGTTTCTTATGTACCTAATTTAAAAGTGTGATAATTTGCAGGTAGAAATGACTATTTTCTTATTGAATGATATGGCTGCTGAAAAGGCCTGCAGTTAAAATGTGTTTTAGGGCAGACAGAAAAATGTGACATAAGAAGATGGCACTTACATATTTGTACTTTTCATTCTCAGTAATGTTGTATTTTTCTACATTCTGTCCATATTTGTAGAATCCGAACCACTAGGAAAAAACCGTGTTATGATCACACAAATGCGCATTGAGGAGACGGTGCCCAGAGGTAAATAAATCATTTGGGTGCGTTGTGCTTAGCGCCTATTCAGAGCAAATACAACCTTTCCTAGGCTAACATTAAAGGGTTTCCAATCATGAACGGAAAAAATTAAATCATGAGCAATTTTTAGGGCTTTTTGAGTTTTCTGAGCTTATATATATGGGTACCCGTGATATGACACCAAATAATTATGCGTCATAAACCAATTTAAGTTTTCAAAATTTTCAAGCATGTCTCCATCTTGAAAATAATGAACATTTGTGTGCAGTCGTCCAGAAAACGCCGATATATCGCGTTGTAATCTGCCTCCCCAAAGATTTGAAATTCCCAAACGCACATTGCAAACTGCAACATATTTAATTTTAGAAAATCTCCAATTTAATATTTGCTCTTTTGGAGAACCATAATCTCTTGACTGGACTGAACATTACACAGTAGGTTGAATGTACGAAAACAAATAAATTTTGCGAATACTTATAAACTGGGGCTCGTCGCTCTGTAACACAGATTACGAATGAAGAAGACGCTGAGATTTGAATTTCCACAGGTCGCTGTTGGATACAATAAATTCTGCTGTGTGCGCACGTTTCAAATCTATACCGGGATAAGTATGACTTCAAAACATCAGAAAACCTAAATTCTTTCCAAGTGGCATGAGCGTGCAATTGTTACATTCCCAGTTCCCAGTAATGTAGCTAATAATCCTCTCAGGCCGATAAAAGGATATGATAGGTCAAGCTGCCATCCATTGTTTCATAAGGGTTTGCTTAGCAACTGGTCCTGCTACTCATCATCTAGGCTTGTCACTTCAAACGGAGACGAGGCAATCACTTCATAACTCGTATGCACGCAGATAAATGATGTGAACGGTACTGGTCGTCTAGATTTCTGAGCAGACCACGCATAATGCTTCGCTTTAAAAAACAGGAAAATTAATAAATATTTTCTTGTATTTGGCTAAGTCTGGTTGCGCCAGAATTTCAATAGATGTTCTAACTCATAAAATACTAAAAAAATTGTAAAATCCGTTTTCGAATAAAAAAGATAGTTTAAGGGAAATTGCTAAATTAAGCACCATGCGGCTTAAATCTGTAGTAATCCGTCCAACCTGAAATGCCGGATATCGAACGAACTTGTTTTCCACTGCATGCAAAAACATCACTCTGCAAACGTGACTGCTGAATTATCCGAATTTTTTTATTGATTTTCGACGTACTCAAAAAGTCAACAATATTTCATTGAAAATATGAATAAAAATATCGACTCATGAACGCATATTAGTAAAACATCACGCCTTCCTACAACTTTATACTTAAAGAAGGGATGCATTCGGTTTTTAAAAAGTCTCCAATTATGCGATTTTTAATACCGTAAAACGCCCCTTCATAAAACATCATGTTTCTGCATTTACTAATGTGGCTTGTAATGTTTACAATATTCTTCAATTCCACTGCTTAAGTTTATGAACCCCATGTTGTATCCTGTTGGTGCCGTAGTGACATCTACGGTTTTCCAACGGCGAAAATATACAACTTGTAGTTTGGGAACTCCGAATGCAAGTGTAAAGACATGTCACGTTCAAAATCACTGAGGAATTGTGAAAACTTTTAAAAACCTGATTATATGGTAGAGGGTACAATCACTGGTCGTTTCTACGGGACGCGACGGTTCCGTTGTACCTATTGGCTCCCTCTCGAGCCCAATCAGCAGCCGCACAGTGACGCAAGATATAGGCAGAATGGTATTGCCATCAAAGACAAGGGAGATGGGAATGGTCATTTCTGGCATATTAGCTGTTTTCCGCCAGTCATAGCCGACCCCGAAGTTTAACACAACCCCGAGGCTCGAACTCGCGACCTGCTTGTTAGAAGTGCACGCCTCTAACCACTGAGCCACGGGCCCGTTGTCCTGTCAGTTGCAACGGCTAATAAGCCAGATCTGGCCACTCCAGTCTCCCTTGTCTTTGACGGTAATACCATTCTGCCTATATCATGCTCCGCTGTGCTGCTGCTGGTTTGGGTCGAGAGAGACCCCGTTAGGCACAACGGAACGAGTGAGTTCCATAGAGACAACCTTTGTATATTCCCAATCGCAACTAACAGGGCAACGGACTCGTGGCCCAGTGGTTAGAGACGTGGACTTCAAACTAACAGGTCGTAACTTCGAGCCCCCGATCTTCAACATTTCGGGGTCAAGCACGACTGACTGACGACGGCTAATAAGCCATAAATGGCCATTCCAGTCTCCTTTGTCATTGTTGGCAATGCCATGCTGCCAGATTGTATACTTCCTTCGTGTATAAAATTCGAGGAAGATGTAAGTTTCTACCAAATGAGTGAAAAAATTGATTTTTTATATTGCGTTTTCTATGATATATATTTGAACGTTCAGTGATATTGAAAATTATTTTAAAAAGTCATGTAACATAGGAAGTTATTTTTCACAGACTGACATTTATGCAAGCGGCCGGAAGGAATTTCTTTCGAAAGCCGAAATCTCGAGGTAACTGGACTATTATAGAATTTTGCGGCATGTTGATCCATTTTACAACCCTTCTCACACAACACGTAATGTTTCCAACTAGAGTTCGAGAGGGCCAACAGATGAACTGCCTCGATCTTGTGTTCACCAAGTCGTCTGACAACATCGACGTTGTGAATTGCCTCCCCCCGTTGGGTCAGAGTGACCATGTAGTTCTCATGTGGGAATACACATTATTCTCCCTTCCTGCACAACCGCTCGATTCCCGACCCAATATTTGGCGCGGCGATTTCGAACAGATGAAAAAGGATCTTAGTCCTATCGACTGGGCATCCACTCCCTCCGGCGATGTCGAAGAGGCTTGGTGTCAGTTCAAAGAGTTAGTCCACAACCTCATCTCCAACCACTGCCCAATCATGCGCAAAAGACTAACAAATAGACCTCGCTGGTTGACTCCGTCGTTAAAGAAGGAAGTTAACAAGAAGAGGAAGCTATGGAAAAGATCGCTGACGGATCGCACGCCAGAATCCCTAAGCAGTTATAAGTTACAGAGAAATCGGGTCAAAATTCTCATCGCCAGAGATAGGAAAGCTTTTGAAAAGAATCTTTTGAACCGTGCCATGATTAATCCAAAAATCCTTTACAGCTACATAAGACAGAGCACACGGAACAAAGATCCTGTCCCACTGCTGCGAACGGCTAAGGGTGTGGAAATCTCTGATGACAAGGATAAGGCTAAACATCTCTCTCAGTTCTTCCGATCAGTCGTGACAAGTGAACCTGCTTTTTCCTCACCCACTTATGAAGACGATGGAACGCCTACCCTCGAAGCCGTCTTCTTCACCGAAACAATTGTTCGGAGTGAGTTACTAAACCTAAAAGAATCGACCTACCCAGGCCCTGATGCAATCCCGGCCAAGCTGCTGAAGGAACTAGCTTCCGAAATGTCCAAGCCGTTAGCCTTGATCTTTCAAACGTCATTTGTTACTGGATGCCTGCCCTCTGACTGGAAGTCCGCTACCATCACTCCGCTTTTCAAGGGCGGAAGTCGTGCGTCTGCGAATAACTACAGGCCAGTGAGTCTTACCTCCATCTGTTGCAAAATCATGGAGAAGATCATTAAGAAGGCCTTGGTGCAGTTCCTCGAGCAGCACCATCTCCTTTCTGATGCCCAACACGGCTTTCGAAGTGGTAGGTCCTGCCTCACGAATCTGCTCTTTACGCTCGAACGCTGGACCAAAGCACGTGATGAAGGCAAGGTGGTGCACGCCATCTACATTGACTTCAAAAAGGCTTTCGACAGCGTTCCTCATCAACGTCTCTTGTACAAACTGCGCAACGCTGGAATTCGTGGACGCCTTCTTGTATGGATCCAGAGCTTTTTGGCTGGACGGTCCCAGAGAGTGCAGGTCGGGCGTCAACAGTCGTCAGATGTAAGCGTGGTGAGTGGCGTCCCACAGGGCTCAGTCCTAGGTCCAACGTTATTCCTCGTTTTCATAAATGACTGCGTCAAGGACTTAGACTATGATACCATCCTGTTTGCCGACGACATTAAATTGTGGAAAGTTATTCACAATGCGGCAGACGCAAACCACCTGCAAGCAAACCTGAACAGACTCGAAGACTGGTCGAAGCGCTGGCTTATGCCCTTCAATATAAGCAAGTGCAACTTTCTTCAACTAGGCAGCTTCAGAACCTCCACCCCCAGGACTTACTTTCCAGAGGGCACACCACTGCAACAGGTTGACAGTCAGAAGGATTTGGGTGTATGGATTACATCTTCACTCAAACCAACACTGCACTGCGCGAAGGCGGCTAAATCGGCTACGGCCACATTGCAACTCATTAGGCGAGCATTTATGGGATTTGACCCTGACTGCTTCTCCAAAATATTTGGCACCTTCGTGCGACCTCATCTAGAATACGCCATACAGGCGTGGAGACCCTGGACTGCCAAGGATTATACCGTCTTGGAGAACGTCCAGAGACGGGCGACCAAAATGACACAAGGTCTGGGAGCACTGCCCTATGAAACCAGACTGTCAATCCTCAACCTGTTCCCCCTTTCCTACAGGCAATTACGTGGTGACCTTATACTAACATTTCGCATCATCAACGGCCTAGACTGTTGTTTAGATCCCACTGATTATTTCACCCAAGCTAACACGCCCAATTTGCGCGGTCATCCCCTGAAACTGCGCGCAGGGAAATCAAGAACCAATGGACGAAAGTCCTTTTTCAGTAACAGAGTGGTTGCAGCCTGGAATGCCCTACCTACCGATGTTGTAACCTCTTCCTGTGTGAACTCCTTCAAGTGTAGACTTGACCTGCATCAAGCTTCCCAATTACCACCCCCACATCCACTCACATAACCCGGTATTCTCTTATATGTGTTTATACTACTTGTAATTAGTAAGTAAACATTAATTATTACTCTTTTTCGGCTAGCTGGCAGCTGTCCGCGAGTATGTACAAAATCCCTTTTTCACCTTCCCATTTATCAATGTTTTTCCCCGACGACTTGTAACCAAGAGGGAATTCAAAGGCGCTTGCCTATATTTCCCTTAATAAACTGATACTGATACTGAAAACATATTTCAGAATTTCGGTTAACATTTTATAAGTTATCAAGCCTTCCATATGACGCAATGGAAGAAGACTCACTAGCTAACACTACAACTCATGTGTTTAGATATGTTTTGCTTCTTCCGAAAGTAAAAGATTTGCTTCAGCCAAAACATTTCGACTATGTAACACTGAGATTGCAATTTCGACATACTTGAGATTCACCCGGCACGAGCATTGCATCATCCATGAAACGGACAAGCACAAGATTTCGAACTTTGAGAATATTTTCCCTGTAGATCTGATTCACATTCTAAACCATAAAATGCATATTAAGAGTGAAAAACAAAAGTGAAATAGAAAGCGGGAAACATGTCAAAGCGTTAGATAAGTCTTCAGTATTTTGGCAATTTCGATTTCTGTACGCCGACAGTTTAACCATTTAAAGGTGGCATTGTCTTACACTGACGGCAGAAAAACTGTGTTCTCGGAAAAATATTATATATAAAATTAAATTAAGTCAAAGTCATATGAAAACAACGGTAAAGAGACGCTTGCCGATCGTGCATCCGAACTCACTCGTCCCAATGCGCCTTGCGGTACGTAGTATAGGCAGAGAGGTGTTACCGCCAAAGACGGTGAAGACCGGAATAAAGCCATTCTTGGCTAACCCGTCGTTTCCTGCCGGCCACGGTTAATTTCGAGATATGCAATTCCCTCTTTTTTGTAGGTAATGATGATCTGTTTCATATTACGCTATTTGAATAAACCGCAGATTTCAAGAAATCCCTGCGACAATGGTAGAGTATAAAACCCAAGCTAACTTGCTGCAGTCTGTGGATCGTTCAGTATACGACAGCTGTGTGGTGTCCCATACCCAGCTTGTACCTTTTCTTTAATTTGTGGGTAAATTCACACTTGCCGGCTGCAGTTAATTCAAATTTTGTTTATTTTTGAAAATTGCTTTTTGCACTTTTAATTAGCGCACTCACATTTGTTGCCACATAACAACGTAAGATAAGACTTTCGACAGAAATTTGGTTATTTTTGGGGTTTTCTTTTATTATGCCTGCTCTATATTCTGCATTTTGCCCACCCATAAAACCCTCATCTACCACAATTCCCGTATGACACGGTCCACGGGCTACCTCAACTTAGTTGGAGTCCTACAACCTACCGTTGCTGTTACTGCATTATTATGCATAAAATTACAACATGTCTATTTATTTTTGATATCGGAACAAAACCTTTATCCTATGCCGTTAAGCATAAGCGAAAGCGTGAAGCGACGGCGATGTAATCGAGCAAATTATTTCGCTTTTAAATCGGATTCGGAAGACGTACGTTTTCTTGATTGATATCTGCAAGGAACTGACTCTTTTTTCGGTAAACATTCGGGCGAAGAGGATCCTTCCAATATTGCGCTTGAGTGACACTGAAATAAACATGTCACAGACATCATTCTTCGATGATGGGCATAAAACCATGTTAGCAAAATAGATGACCAATCAAGAAAGTTGCTACAGTCTTCGGGAACTTTAAAGACACAAGATAATGAATGAGGCGCATTACCAACTTGTCGTTAAGATCCGCAGCTGTTTATCTTTTTACAGGGTGTCCACAAAATTTGTAATTGTTCTAACTACTTACGATTTCCCTGAAATCCAAGAAAAAATTACGGCAACGTCCGGAGTACATAGACGCTAGTTCAAGCTTGTGTCA